TTGCTCAGGGGGAGTTTAGTAGTCTTGTATGTTGATTACGTAAGTCACTCTATGGTCTGAAACAATCTTTGCAAGTTTGGTTTGGGAAGTTCCAACACTGTAATTTTATCACTCTGTGTTTTATCGGCATTATGCATCAAATTCAGTATTTCATGAGAAGACCAAGCACATTGAGATTGATTGTCAATTTTGTGAAGTCGAGTGATCAGCTTGCAGATATCTCACCAAAGCCCCTCATCAGTCCTCGTGTTAATTACATTTGTAATAAGCTAGGTACATGAATTGTATGCACTAGCTTGAGGGGGAGTGTTAGAATAGGAATAGATTTATACAATCCTATTAGAATAGAAATATGTTTATACAATCCTATTAGAATAAGAATATGTTTATACAATTTTATTAGAATAGGAATAGTAATAGAAATAGGAACACTAAATAGTATTCTACTTGGTAAAGGATTGTATTCTAGGGTCTATAAATAGGATCTCAATGTAATAATGTACACAACAACAATTTAATAATATTCTTTTCTTATATTTCTCACAACACCCAAAACACATTATGCTAAATTTGTCTTGGAAACAACAAAAAACTTGATTATAGAGATCTGATTGTCGGAAAATTCAAATCTCAAAGAAAAAGTCGTCGGAAACAACTTGGAAATAGCCGGAACCCTAATTCCAGCGATCGGATCTGCTCAAAAACAGTTTGGGCCAGGTCGGAATGGCTGGACGACCCCAATTGTCAAAAAAATTCTCAAAAATATGATCAGAACCGGAAACTACCACCTCCGATCAACGCGTGAGAGCGCGTGAGGTGATGTTTTCTAGTGGTTCTGGCTGGGGTTTGGTCGCGGGAGCTTTCCGAGCCTCGTGGTGGTGTTGGTTTTCGCACAACATCCACAAAGAAAAAAAATAACAAAATCAGACCCAACAGCCACCGAAAATTGACATAGACATACGGTGACTTGTTTGTTCTCACCAATGCTCTGATACCATGTGAGAAATATATGAGAAAAATATTATTGAATTGTGTGTTAATTATTACATAGAGAACCCTATTTATAGACACTATGATACAATTCCTTACCAACTAGGAGACTATAAACAATTCCTATTCTGTGTAAGATGGTGTATACCTATTTTATTCTAACACAGTCCCGCTATATTGTTCTATAATATAGGTTCGGACGTTCAACATCAAACACGCGGTTAGTACGACTTCAGATCAACTCAGCAACATGTTCGGTAAGTCCTCATCCTTAGAGGACAACCTTCAGATTTCTTTCAATTATTAAATCTTCTAGTTTTAAGACAGTTAGAGTTAGTTATGGGCTTGTCCTTGTAACCTATCTTAGAAGGGGTTTGTGATACACATGTCAGCTTTGTGTCTCTTTTAGATGAACTGGCTTTTGAGTATTCAAATTTTATATTTCAGACTACTCAGTTTATTTCAGCTTAGCTTCCGCATTAAGTTATTCTAAATTATTGTTTACATAAATCATAGTGTCATGACATGAGTTAGTTTGGGGTCACTTGTGGCTCTAAGCACCGTGTTATGAGTAAGGGTAGTCTCAGATCATGACAAACTTAGTATCAAAGCCTTAGGTTCAAGTATCTTAGGGTGTATGAAAGTCGCCCTAAGTAGAGTTTTGTTCATGGGTGTAAAACGCGTCACACTTATGAATGAGAGGCTATGAAATGTTTTAGGAAATACTTCACATCGTTCATGTTCTCAATTGTGCGATAGAGTGTAACTCTATTTAACCTCCTTCTGTTCTAATTCGTGCTCTCCGTGTTTAACAGAATCATTCCTCACAAAAGAGCACATCAGCAAGAATGAAAGTCAACAAGCACCACCAACTCCAGCAGACCCCTTGAATGAGCAAGCTTCTCATGTTGAGTCCAAGGCCGCTTTCCAAGTGTTAGCTCAGGCCATGACCACTCAAGTCAATCAGTAGGCTATTGCACAGGCTAACCCGAATGGGAATACAATAACTAGGGTTCGGGATTTTACTAGGATGAATCCTCCTGAGTTTTCAGAATATCACACAGATTAACTACTAGGGAGGAGGACTCACAGGAGTTCATCGATGGTGTTCAGAATATCACACAGATTATGGGGGTTAGCCCAATGGAGAATGCATACTTAGTCGCTTACCAGTTGAAAGGAGTGGCTCAAATTTGGTACTAGCAGTGGAGAGGATGACAGAGGGGTTAATGCAGGTCCAATGAACTGGGAGAAGCTTGTGGCTGCATTTCTAGACAGGTTCTTTCCGCTTGAGCTAAGGGAGGCCAAGGTCTAGTAGTTTATTAATCTGAAGCAAGGGAACATGTCGGTGAAGGAGTATTCCTTGAAGTTTACCCAACTCTCCAAGTATGTTGCATCTATGGTGACCGACTCCAGGTCCCATATGAGCAAGTTTGTTTTAGGTGTTTCAGAGACTGTAGTAAAGGTGTATAGAACTGCTATGTTGATCAAGGAGTTGAACATCTCTAGGTTGATAACTCATGCTCAATAGATTGAGGAAGAGAAGGTCAAGGAGAGTACTAGGGGGAATAAAGAGGGCTACAACAGACAATATGGACTAGTCTCCACAGAAGTTAGGCGGTGGAAATCGCTCTCATTTTCATCATAAGTTTTGAGGTTCAGCCCCATCCTTTGCTAGTGCCCCAATACCTAAGTTCATACAGGAGAACATGGATAGGGCACCAAGCTCTAAGTCCCAGGGTAGTGTCACTAGTAGTTGTACCTTTTCGGTTTATCAGAAGTAAGGTAAGAACCATCTCAAAGGGTCATAGCTAGTAGTGGTAATTGTGTTGGATGTGGCAATTCAGACCACAAGTTAAGGGAATGCCCAGTGGCATCAGGTAGGGGTAAGGATATTTACCAGCAGACTCAGC